AAGCCAGAAGCAAGCAAGCATTTCTTTTCATCACTTTTCCCACTCATTTCAACTTCTACGTGTAGCTCACTCAGCACTCAGCATCTTAATAAGTCCCAGTCCAGTGGGCCACAGCTAGAAAGAGCCTTATGGAGCCGCAGATGTTTAGTTGGAGGCTGGAACTCAGAGAAGAGGATTGAGCAAGATCTCCCAGGTAGTTTATACTTTCATGTACATCAGGTCGCTTGGATACTGACAACCACCTGGTCATGTAGACAGAGGCTATTACCTCATTTAACAAATAAGGAAACAAGTTCAGGTAAGTGCCCATAGCTCTCCTCCAAGCTATCAAGCCTTTATTGCCACCCACTATCCCCACTTCTCTTGCTTTCCCTTGTTTTAAAATCAGTCCAGGCCGGACGCGGTGGCTCATACCTGTAATCTCAACACTTTGGGAGGCCGAGGCAGGTGTGTCATTTGAGGTCAGGAGTTCGAGACCAGCCTGGCCAACATAGTGAAACCTTGTCTCTACTAAAAATAGAAAAATTAGACGGCGGTAAGGCGCGCGCCTGTAATCCCAGCTATTTGGGAGGCTGAGGCCGGAGAATAGCTTACGGTATGCAGAGACTGGGCCACTGCGCTCCAGTCTGGGCAACAGAGTGTGACTCTGTCTCAATAAATAAATAAATAAATAAATAAATAAATAAATAAATAAAGTCCAAACTATACACATAATTCCAGGAAATTGCTACTCAGCTCCAAATATTCTATATCAAATTTGAAAATATTTGTTGCATTCCCCATCTTCCTAACCCACTTAGCATGATGGAGAGATGATAGAGCATAGTAATTTTGAGGGTGCACTTTGGAATCAGATCTAAGTAAATATTCTGTGTTCATCACTTACGAATTCCATGACCTTTGACCTCTGTGTGCCTCAATTTCCTCACCTGCAAAAGGGGACTGTTAACATCTATCTCGTGGAATTCTTTTAAGGATGAAATGAGATGTCATATAAAAAATTGCATAATGCTTAGCACATAATTGAATAGCTTGATTAATGCATCTAGCATATATCATTATATTAAATCATAGGCTGAAATGATCTTTAGGAATTAGTCCACTACTTTCATGCCTTTTATCAATGAACTTAAATGGAGTTAAGTGAGAAGGCTACTTTGCCAAGTAAGTTTGTGTATCAGGTCGAATGGTGTCCCCCCAAAATTCATGTGCACCCATCTCACACTGTGAATTTATTTGGAAATAGGGTCTTCACAGATGTCATGAGTTCAGATGACATCATGGTGGATTAGAGTGGGCTCTAAGTACGACGTGAGTGGGTCCTTTATAAGAAGAGGAGAGGACATACAGAAACGCTGAGACATAGAGAGAAGAAGGCCATGTGAAGACAGAGGCAGAGATTGGGATGATGTAGTTACAAGCCAGTGATCACCGGGAACCACCAGAAGCCAGGTGAGAGAGACATGGGATGGAGCATCTCTCAGAGCCCCCAGAAGGAACCAACCTTGTCAACACCCTGTTATTTTTTTTTTTTTTTTTTTTTTTTTTTTTTTTTTTTTTTTGAGACGGAGCTTCGCTCTTTGTTGCCCAGGCTGGAGTGCAGTGGTACGATCTTGGCTCACTGCAACCTCCACCTCCTGGGTTCAAGCAATTTTCCTGCCTCAGCCTTCCAAGTAACTGGGATTACAGGCTCCTGCCACCACGCCCAGCTAATTTTTGTATTTTTAGTAGAGACGGGGTTTCACTATGTTGGCCAGGCTGGTCTGGAACTCCTGACCTCAGGTGATCCGCCCACCGCAGCCTCCCAAAGTGCTGGCATTACAGGGCTGAGCCACTGCACCTGGCCAACACCCTGATTTTGTACTTCTAGCCTCAAGAACTGAGACAGAACACATTTCTGTTGTTTTAAGCCACCCAGTTGAAAACTACTATAGTTGATGACAGAATGAGAACTAGACTCCAGATTTTTTAACCTCTAGTCTAGGCCTCTTTTACTTCATTGCTGCCTCCCCAAGCCAGCAACAAACATTTATGGAATACCTTCTTAGAAAGTTTACTTATTTGGAAAAAATCGACACAATCTGTAATTTTTAAGCACTTTAAGTTGTTGCCTGACACACAATAGGTATTTAATAAATATTTTACTGTCCAGTTGATAAAATGATAGACATTAAAATGTTATATTTTGTTATACAAATCTAAGATATTGTTATGAACCATTTTTTACCTCTGCATACACCTATGCACCAGACTCTAAATTTATTTACAAGGTTTGTATATTGAAGAATCCCAAGGCTCCATAACTCTCTCACTGCTACCGTCTCAAAGATACACGAGGTTCACAAGTCCTGCCTGTTCCCTACTTCTAGGGGTGAAAAATTAAAAGGAAAGCAATCTGAACAGCCTTAGGACTCTGAATCCTACAAGGGTTGTTTTCATTTTTGCTGAGTCCATCTACACTCATTTAGGAACACGCAGAAGGGAAGCTAGGAAATCAGGGGAGCTGCCCATTGCTCTAAAGGAAGTAGGTCACAGGGCACTGCTCCCACCCACTCAGCCAGGGAAAAGAATGGGTGGTGGTGGGTTAACAGTTACAAAGGGAATGAGGGAAACTAGGGAGGACCTGCGGGGCATGGTGGCTCATGCCTGTAATCCCAGCCATTTTGGGAGGCCAAAGCGGGTGGATCACCTGAGGTCAGGAGTTCGAGATCAGCCTGGCCAACATGGCAAAACCCCATCTCTACTAAAAATACAAAAATTAGCGGGGCACAGCGACAGGTGCCTGTAATCCCAGCTTCTCGGGAGGCAGGAGGCAGAGGTTGTAGTGAGAGATTGCGCCATTGCACTCCAGTCTGCGAAAAGAAGCGAGACTCTGTCTCGAAAAAAAAACAAAAAACAAAAAACAAGGGAGGAGCTGATTCACTAGAACAACTCTTAGAGTGACTCAGAAGCTAGCAGAAAATAGCCTGTTCTCCCACATCTGCTTCATTGTCAGGCGATGAGGCACTTCCTCATTGCATACCCATAGGCAGAGCAAAGGGGAGGAGGAGGAAATGGGATTTTTCAAGTTCCTTTGCCTGTTCCAGCACCTAACACTCCATATTTGTAATCATTTCAGACATTTTATTTCCAGTCAGTATTTATTGAGTACCTACTCTGTGCCGGGCCCTTCATCTTACCTTTCAGATTGTCAGTGTTCAGAACACAAGGCATGATGCCTTTCTGAAGTTCGGTATATCCTACATCATTACACCAGATTCACTTATGCTGCTATTGAGCACCTCCACACATAGTCTTGCTGTCCTTCATGTATAGAGATGACCCTCCCAAGCCTAAAATCAACAGGGGGAGGCATGGAGCTTTCCTTCTGGCTCTAATGTTTGCTTTACAATCATCCACACCCATTTTTAGTCCACCATGTGAGAGCCAGTGTGAAGTGAGCAGAATATGGCATAAGTTTGGAGTCATACATCCTTACTGGAAATTATTTACTATTTACTAGCTCTATGACTTTATTTGACTTCTCTGAATCTCTATCTTCTCATCTGTAAATTGGACACAATGGTGTCTATCCTACACTGTAGGACAGATTTCTCATACAGTACTGAAGATGACATCAAATACCATTTAAATGAAAGTACATGGCACAGTGATAACATGATAAATACTCGTTTACTTCTTTCAGACTATAATCGCACAGACTGATCACATCCCTCGGTCAGACTGTAAACTGCATGGGGCAGGCGGCATCTGCCTTGAGGACTGTTTGCCTAGGCAAGTACTAGGTCCCTAATGCTGTCTTGCGAATTATAATTGCTAAGTTTAGGGATAATGTATTAAGTGTACTACATTATTTGTGCATTATAAATATTCGTCTCAAATATTTACTATATTGTATTTAAAATAATGTGGTTATCGTAAATGTAACCAGCTGAATCAATCTGTGAGCTGACAGCCATTCTGTGGAAATGGAATTCAGAAACTTTGACTTCAGGTAGGGATACAACTAGTTATACATCCACTCCCCTTTCTGAGTTACTCGGTCCTGCCTAAGACTTGCTGCCACCAAGATCTGCATTCCTGTGTTCACAAGGCAGACATTCCTTGCATCCTCTGTACTCTCCATTGTTTAACTTCACGGCAAACACCATTCCCCGCAATATAATGAGGCCAAGGACAGAAAAAAGTCGCCTCAGCTGGCAAGCATAGTGTGGAAAAACCTGCCACACAAATTTGCAATTATTCGACTTCTGCCTGGAAAGCAGGTCGGCTGGATTTATGTCCCCCAAAATTAGTATTCTCTTCTGTACAAACTGTGGTTGAGAGAAGGGTGATCTCCAGGTGTTTCATCTTTGCACCCTTGCTTGCAGCACCACGCCCACAGTCGCGTCCAGAAAAAAGAAAAAAAGGGGGGAGCAAGGAAGCCAGGTTTTCAACAACTAATTCATTCTAATGCAGACATCAAAGCCCACTTCATTTATTAACATTCTGGAAAAAATCCCAATCGATCAGGCCACCAGAGCCCTCCTTTCCTAAACTCCCCGTACAGTCAGGGAAAAGCACTAAGCACTAGCCACGGTCCTGCCCAGAAACCACGCAGAGGTGGAAAGTTGCAGACCAAGGGCCGGGAGGGGTACGAGCCCATCCTGAAGCCCGGGACCGAGGACGGCGCTTCCTCCCGGAAGTGACGCGAGCTCAATCCCAGCCTTGCTCTTCCCAAACAAAAGGGATCTTGGGGCCCCGGGAGGAGCCTGAATGACATTGGAGAAGCTCCGCCTCCAGCCGGCGCGGATTGGGGACAATGCTGGAGAAGCAAGGAGGCGATTGGCGCTGGTGAATGCCAATGCCCCCGCCGGGCGGCTGAGGGGGCGGGGCCTCTGCCGCTGTGGATGGGGAGTAGAGGCGGAGGGGAGCGGAGCCCGGTGCGTCGTGGAAAGGTAGGAACCACACTCCCTGGGGCTTGATGATGGCTGAGAGGCCGGGTTCTCAAGAGCAAAGCAAGTATAGGGGCACCGGTAGCTTCCCGCCGCTGTCCTAACGGCCTCTGGGCCCATCCCCTGAGGGGGCGGGGCCATCTCCTCCACCTCCCGGTATTCCCCGAGGAGGCGGCTCCTCATCCTTTGAGGGTCCTCACAGCTACTTTTTGTCCCTCGTCGATTCCCAGCTCCTCAGAAGGGGCTTCCCTCTGATACCCCTCATTCAAAGGCTCTTCCCACCCCGCACCTCAGCCTTGGAGGAGAGGACTCACAGGTACCGTACCGATTCTCTAGGCTGCCGCCCCCAACCCCGTTTTGCACCCCCGGAAGGCCAGACATCCCTCCCTACACCTGTCTCTGCTCTCCAGGGTGGGACTGGAGCTGCTTTCCTCCGTAAGATAAAATTAGTGTTTCCCAAAAAAGAGGGATGGGGCGAAGCAAAAATCAAAGACCGACCTAGACAGCCAGCTTTACCGAGGAAACGGCTTCTCCCACTTAAGTTCTTCCCATCCCCCATTCTCTGATGCTCAGTCTTCCTCCCGCCGCCCCTCACATCCTCTGGCCTCTTGTGAGGAGTCGAGAGCTCTCCTGTTTTGGGACTTCTTTGGACTCTGAAAGAGGGAGAACTAGGACCTCCTCTCCCTCGCCCTTTGTACCTTTCTTCTACTTTCTGTTCCTTCTGGGAGAACCCAGCCTCTAAGGGTTTCTTAGGTTTGAATTGCGTTTCATTTTTCCTTTTCCACCCTATTTCTTCTCTGAGAACTTGATGAAAAGCCATCTTATATTTCACAGTGAGGTGGGTGTGTTGGATATCTGCAGAGTTGGCTTTGTGTGGGCAGGAATGCAGTGTATGTTGCTTGACAGTCAATGAATAACACCATGTTTTCAAATGAAACAGTATACATAAGTAAATAAATAGCAGTGGATTAGGAATGAGTATATCCCAGTCTAGGATGGGCTGGTCCATTGCTCAGGGAGACTGCAGTTAACCTTGAAGGTATACTGCAGTTTGAAACAAAAGGCAGGAAGTGTTTGAAGAAAATTCAGGGTCAGTCATCTAGGCTTATGATTAATCTAGTCCTGTGTCCTTTGGTTACTCTCTAACCCCTTTTTTATAGTGTCTCCCCCGCCCCCAGGAAACATTCATGTATATTTTGATTGGTTTTACGATCATCTATCAAAATTTAGACGATGAAAAGTAATTTTTTAATCTCAGAGATCAAAGTAAATAAAGGCAAGGTGTTCTAGCTATTCATGTTTACCAAAAAGTGCCTCTAGTGTGCTCCTAAAGGTTTTGTCAAGTGGCCTTCATTTCAGCAGGTGCAAAGTGTTGATTTTGACCTCAAGTTAATGTCGTTGAATCCCCAGTAATCATCTATCGCTAGCACTTTTATATATTAAAATTTACCATATTTTTAGCATAGTTTTTTTTTTGCTTTCAATCTCAAGTCCACCTCCCCGCTGTCAACTATAGCCAAAGCTGATGGCAATGAAGTTCAAGGAGTTGGAATCACAGAGGGTGATTGTAATGACTGTTGTCTTTTACCTTCTTGATTAGACTTCCTGAGGGTAATTATTTTTGAATAGTTAGAATTGAAGGTTTCAGAGTGCTCACAGATCTTCTTAGTGAGCGTTTCCAAATCTCCAATAAGAAAGCACAAAGAAGAAACTGGAGGGTGTCTCTAGCAAACACAATGTGTGCTGCAATAGAAGGGTAAAACATGGGCTCCCTGCAATAACAGCAGAAAAAGCTAAAAGTAGAACAGAAAATCCCAAAAAGATAAGTTGTATTACATCAGCAGAGAACAGAAAATAAACTAAGGTAAGAGACTAAGCAAACCAAAGTTGTGGTGATTGCTGAGCTTTAATAGGAAAAAGCAAATAATGTTCTTTTATTATTTAGCACAGTAAGCAAGATCTGTTTGTTACACTTTTGGGTCTTGAAAATCTTTCCTTTAACCTTTTCAACACCTGTTTGGTCATGCCAGATGAAGAAAAGCGTAGTATGCAGGGGATATATGTCTGATCTCTCTCCTTGAATTATAAATTCTTTGAGGGCAGATAGTAGTATTTTTTGTTTTTCGTCTTTGTCTCTTTCACAGTTCCTGGTATATAGTATGACTTAATGAGTGTTTGTTTAACTTAGTTTGAAGCTGTCACCTTAGGGTAGACTGAAAGGCAATGCACTGATTAGATGTGGCACAACTTGTTAGTATAAACCGTCTACTTGTTGTCTTCATTTAACTTGATTTTCCCCATCTGCTGTCTTATGAAATTCCAGTGTCTTAAGTGACTAAAATTTTGAATTTCTTATAAAGAAATATCTGTGAGGCAGGATGTGGTGGCTCATCCCTGTAATCCTAGCTACTTGGGAGGCTGAGGCAGGAGGATTGCTTGAGCCCGGGTGTTTGAGGTTACAGTGAGCTATGATCATGCCACTGCACTCTCCAGCCTGGGCAGCAGAAAGAGACCCTGTCTCTTAAAAAAAAAAAGCAGTTAAAAAAAAAAAAAAAATATATATATATATATATATATATATATAAAATCTACTGGTTAGAAAATACTATTTTTACTGTCATGAAATTTGCACCAGACTTAAGAACATAATGAGTGCTAATCATTTCAGGATTTTATTGTTTTAAATATCTGACCCGATAGGAATGAAGTGAATTTAGAAGAGCTCACTAGGGACTGATTGTTTACTGATTTTTGCTCAAGAATAGTTTCTGAGGCCAGGCTCCGTGGCTCACACCTGTAATCCCAGCACTTTGGGAAGCCGAGGCGGGTGGATCACGAGGTCAGGAGTTCGAGACCAGCCTGGCCAACATGATGAAACCACATCTCTACCAAAAATGTAAAAAATTAGCTGGGTGTGGTGACATGTACCTGCAATCCTAGCTACTCGGGAGGCTGAGGCAGGAGAATTGCTTGAACCCGGGAGACAGAGTTTGCAGTGAGCTAAGATTGCATCACTGCACTCCAGCCTGGGAAACAAAGTGAGACTCTGTCTCAAAAAAAAAAAGAATAGTTCCTGAGTGTCTGGTTTTAACAAGTTACTGATCTACTTTGGGACTTTTAAAATGGATTTTTAGTTGATTTTGTGTTTTTAAAGTAACATTAAAAATAGGAACGGGGCACAGAACAGCGTTGGGTCCCTAAGTGTAATTATACAGGCTGATTATTGATTATGGTGGGCATAATACAATCGGTCTTCTCTGGATTTGTATCTTGGCAAAATCACATTTGCAGTGCTACCAGTTAGTTTGCAGAACAGAATTTGAATTCTTGGTTTTTCTGAGTGGAGTAGAATGGTGTTTCTTGGGGGTTTCCATGTAATTGGTGTTTGGCGTCATGAAGCAGGAAGCAGAGATATGCTTCTAGAGGAAATTTGTTCAGTCTGTGGTGGTTGGCCCCAGGAGTGGCTTGTTAGCCTGTTTTCTAAAGGCCATTTTAAAATTTTTGAATATTTGGCTGAGCATGGTGGTTCACACGTATAATTCCAGCACGTGGGGATGTCCAGGCAGGCAGATCACCTGAGGTCAGGAGTTCGAGACCAGCCTGGCCAACATGGTGAAACCCTTTCTGTACTAAAAATACAAAAATTAGCCAGGTGTGATGGTGGGCACTTGTAATCCCAGCTACTAGGGAGGCTGAAGCAGGAGAATGGCTTAAATCTGGGAGGCGGAGGTTGCAGTGAGCCGAGATCACAACATTGCACGCCAACCTGGGCGACAAGAGAGAACCTTCATCTCAAAAAATAAAAAATTAACAAAATTAAAATTTCTGAATATTTGCTGCTATTAACTAAAAATTAAATCTTCCAAAGTTCAATTTAAAGCATTTTAGTGAGAAAATGGCTTATTTATTATGAGCCTCAAGAATGTAGTTATTTACAACACAGACTTTAAAGGCAAACCTAGGTTCAAATCCCAACTCTGCTACTGTTCACTGTGTGATCCAGGGCAAGAGAAAAATTTTCTGTCTTCACCATAGCTCAGTCTCAGTTTCCTCAGCTGTGAGATAGAAATAACTTGGAGAGGTGTCTTTAAGGATTACACAAATAGGCCAGGTGCAGAGGATCACACCTGTAATCGCAGCAGTTTTGGAGGCCGAAGCAGGTGGATCACTTGAGGCCAGGAACTCAAGACCAGCCTGGCCAACATGGCAAAACCCCATCTCTACTAAAAATACAAGAATTGCCAGGCGCGGTGACTCACGCCTGTAATCCCAGCACTTTGGGAGGCCAAGGTGGGCAGATCACCTGAGGTCAGGCATTCGAGACAGCCTGACCACCATGGAGAAACCCTGTCTCTACTAACATACAAAATTAACCGGCGCATGCCTGTAATCCCAGCTACTCCGGAGGCTGAGGCAGGAGAATGGCTTGAACCCCGAGACGGAGGTTGCAGTGAGCCAAGATCGCGCCATTGCACTCCAGCCTGGGCAACAAGAGCCAAACTCCGTCTCAAAGAAAAAAAAAAAAAATACAAAAATTAACCAGGTATGGTGGCACATGCCTGTAGTCCTAGCTACTCAGGAAGCTGAGGCATGAGAATTGCTTGAACCCAGGAGGCGGAGGTTGTAGTGAGCTGAGATTGCGTCGCTGCACTACGGCCTGAGTGACAGCAATACTCTCTCCAAGAGAAAAAAAAAAAAAGGATTACATGAATATACATACACACGCACACATATCACAAAGCAAGGTACCCAGGATATAAGAAGCACTTAGTAATTGACAGGTATTATTATTAGCACTTGGCATGTGAGTTAAGGAATTTAATATTAAACATTATTTTACTCCTTCAGCATTTTAGCAAAGGTGAAGACTTAGTGTTGGATTTTAGTTATTGATTGGTTTTGTTTTAAATTTTTCAACATATGACAGTCCTAAATAGAGGGAAAGAAAGCTTGCTTGCATATGTCATGATCTCAAGCATCTGAGCCAAGGAGTTTTAGGAGAGTGTATATCTGTCTTGGAGTGTGTGTATTTAATAATTTTGTTATGCAAATTATCTTTCTTGAGTTTTTTGGTCCAAGGAAAAAAGAAAAGCAAGGGATTCAGCTAGCTGATGTCTTCTCTCTGAATTGTCAGTTGCTCCACTCCAAGCTCTACTCTTTAAGTAGCACCATCCTGAATGTCATATAAATGGTTTCGTGGATACTGTGATTACTGTGCAGAGTTATACCTTCTGTGAAATTTAAGGAACTTTTAATGGTAATTTTGATTAAAAGTGGTTTTTACCTTACTTTTGAAGACAACCTCCCCGACTGTCC